GATATTTCACCGTGTAAACCCAGCGACAACCCACCACGGGAGTGGGAGGTGGAGGGCGATCAACAATGGGCCAAGTATGGTTCTGGTCAAGTGCATAAAACTCTTCACCCATGGCAGCTTGCCACCGAGGGTCATTCTTGGCCTGTGAATAGCGAGTAGGAATAGTAATGGGAGTGGCACTGTAAGCATAAAATTCACCAAGCCTAGCAGGTGGCTTTCCAAAATTGGCCCGAGTGGACCTTCGAACAGCGGCAGGTGGCGGGGAGCTCTCGGCCGAGCTGGAGGATGCGACGTCAGGAGACGCCACTGAGGAATCGGACGACGAGCTAGAGGAGGACTCGGACAAGTCGGGAGAACCAGGAGGTGTCTCGGGAGGCATCTCGGGAGGGGGTTCTTCATCCTGTTCATCGTCATCTTCAAAGACAGGGAGCCGAGTCGACGAAAACAAGGGAGGATCAGAGGAACTGGACAAGGACTCATAGTACATGACATTTTCAAAAAAGACAACATGACACGAGATACGAATACGATCAGCAGAAGGATCATAACATAAATATCCTTTGTGAATGTCACTATACCCCAAGAACACACAACGAGACGTTTTGGAAGACAGTTTCTCACGTTCACGACGAGGAAGAAGAACGAAACAAAGACAGCCAAATACGCGAAGGCGCGCATAAGGAGGATGAGATGAATGGAGAGCATAATAGGGACTAACATTTTTGAGAATGGGTGTTACTTGGTAATTGATAAGACGAATAGCAGTAGCCACTGCTTCAGGCCAGAACCGAGATGGAACGGAGGAGGCAAGCAAAAGAGCTCTAGTAAGCTCAACAGAATGGCGATTTTTCCGTTCAACAACGCCATTCTGTTGCGAGACACCTGGGCAGGATTTTTGATATAGAATGCCATGGGATTTGTAATAAGCAAGCAATGGGGTGGAGCTAAACTCTCCTCCAGGATCTGAACGCAGCATTTTGACATTCCTTCCAAACTGGGTACGAATCATGGTAAGAAATTCAACAGCAACATCATATAGCTCGGATTTTAAGTGAAGAAAATAAACCCAAGTATAACGAGTGGCATGATCGATGAACAAGGCAAAATATTTATAGCCATTGCGAGAGGTAAAAGGAGCAGGTCCCCAAAGGTCTGTATGAATAAGATGGAATGGTTCAGAAATAACTGTTTTACTAGACGGGAATGAAATACTCTTGGCCTTTGCCTCAACACACCCAGAACACGATGGAGAAATGGAAGGAAAAACAGTTTTATCACCAAGTAACTTCTGTTGAAACATAAGTTGTAACCGATTAGAGTTGGGATGGCCTAACCGACGATGCCATAAAAACCACGGATTATTCGACTCATCAGACAAAATGACAGGCGAGACACTAGGAAAACCGAGATCACTAGACACCTGAGAACTGACAATAGACCGAACAGCAGAAGAAGACTCTCGACTCGACAACCTGTCCAGAGTAAAGGTGCGACCGCATTTATTCCCCCTTCCGATCAGCCTCCCCGTCGTCAGATCCTGCACAAAGCACCCGGTCGGTGCGAACACAACCGAACAGTTCTCATCAGTGAGCTGGCCAACCGAAGCCAAATTAGGATATAATTGAGGAACATGTAGAACATTATTAAGCTTAACATGAGCATTATCCAAGGAACCCACGCCAGCAACAGGAAGATGAGAACCATTTGCCACTTGAAGCTGCAAGTTCTTAACTGGTTTCACTTGATGCAACGAATTGGAATCACTAGTCATGTGATTGAAACAAGCAGAGTCTAATAACCACGGTTTAGCTTTACCTGAGACTTGAAGGGCTGCAAATGCAGATTTGATCGCCGCAAGAATCGATTTCTGAATGGCCGAATTGATCATCTTATCAACAATGTCAGCCGACAAAGACGAGCTAGCCGCACCGGCGGATTGGACTGCAAACGCATGGGATCCAGATGAAGCAACCCGAGTTGGAGGAGCAGAGTCATGGCGACCAGCACCGCCTTGGTTTCCAGCAGCTGCATACATGGTGCGATTCTTCAAGGTGCGGCAGTCACTGATTATGTGACCTGTGCGTTTACAGTACACATAGAAGTTGCGTTTGCGGCAGTGCTTTTGCACGTGACCCTTCTCGTCGCAGAAGATGCAGGTAAGCTCAGAGGCTGGTCGACGCTGAAACTGTGCCCGCTGCGCTGCATATGCTGAAGCATCAAAGTCGGAGGTGCGTTCCGCGGAGAAGACGGTCTCGCCAGCAACCGGGCGAGCATCAATCTGTTCTTGGGCTCGGAGACGTGTTTCCTCCTGCAGTAATCTACCCAAGACCCCATCAAACTGAATATTTTCTTGATTGAGAAGAGAGGACCTTACAGATTCGAACTCCGGACGGAGTTTCATGAGAAAACGCATCAGGCGAGAGCGAGTGCGATTGGCGCGCACATCGGCGGTGACCTGCGCGGGGCTGAGAGATGCGAGAAGAAGATCTTCTTCAGTCCACAGACGAACTGATTCGTTGTAGTAGGCAGAGACATCACGGTCTCCTTGCTTCAGCGCGGCGAGTTCAGTTTCAAGAGCAAACTGTCGAGCGGTATTGCGGACAGTGTAGGTCACAGCGAGATGAGACCACATCTCGTGAGCAGTCGAAAACAAGCGGAGCACGAGGAGGATCGAGGGATCCACAGAGCCCAGGATCCACGTCTTCACGCGAGCATTATTCTGCGTCCAGCGTTCAAGAGCCTGCTCGGTAGCAGGAGGAACAGTAGGCTTCTTCGACGTACCATCAAGGATCGACAATAGACCCTTGCCTTCAACAAAAATACGGAATTGGAATTCCCAGACAGCATAGTTCTTTGAATCGAGACGAATAATGAGGCGATCAGAATCGCCGGACGATGGCTCTGATACCATGTTAGACATATTGAACGGAAAGAAAATGGAACAACTGATTTACGTGGTATCCCTGATGATCAGGACTAGTCCACGGGTGAGGAGAGCTTGAAGAATGATAACGTTTGGGTTCTAGTCTACAACATTCCTCTCCATCTAAAGAGTATCAAACTCATTAAGGCTATTGGTAATTTTTGTGGAACATTGGTTGATGTTGACTGGAACTCCTGGTGCTTTCCTTTCATCCGGATCAGAATTAGGTCTTCTTTCTCTATTCCTAAAAAGATTCCGGTGGTGTTCGGTGGCCAACGATTCATGGTCGACATCGTTCGCCGCCATCGAGGTTGGATGACGGTTCGAGTGTCGTCAATTTCGAACATGGTGGGGGGAATTTTAAGAGTCGTGACGCCTCGGTCTCACCTTTTATGCCTTGGATTTCAGCATGCACGCGTAGCTAGGTTACCCAATCAGTGAGGACGAATAATTATGCTTCGCTGGGAAATAAAGATCGCGGTGGATTCGGAAAGAAGGGCCTATATGGAATAAGTCTACTTCTATTCGCCTTCTGGGGTGGCCCATTTTCGTCAACTTGTCTTTTCGGTTGGGCCAATCGATTTCTCCATTGATTCCTTCTCCCCAGTCTTTCTAACCGACCTCTGATATCCAGGCCATTCCTCTTTCTTCATTCCATTTCCTGGTCCCTTCCTTATCCTAACTCCTTTTGTTTTCCCCCTCTTTGTACCCAAAAATTATCCATTTCCTTCCCTTGCGAGCCCTGCTCTCCACCACCTTATCCGGAACCCGTTAGTAGCCTCCCAACTCGTACCGAAATCTCCCAGCTAAACCTTGACCCATTCGACTCCTTCGACCCCTCCTTGTCCTGTTTGGGTTGTTTCTGGCTTTGATATCCCTTTTGTTTTCCCTTGTGATTTTGTGTTTGTTGGGAAACTTTCCTTCACTCCTGGTGAAGTCGGTTTGTCTTTTTTTGTATGGAACCTCTCTTGTGTTTCCTTTCTAATGCATTTTCACCATTATAAAAAAGTAATCAGAGAACAGGGCAAAAAAGGTATATCAAGATTAATATGCATGTGACAAGGAAGAAGATCAAAATTGGGTTGTTCATGTTCAAATTTGTTAATACATTAAACAGTTGGCACATATCTTCACCAACGAACTCGATCGATTCTAATCAAGATATATTTTGTGGATCACAAGTAAACTGCCAATTTGAGGGGGGAGATAGAATGAAAACAAATACGCTGATAGGAATCCTAAAGCTGTAACCTGTAAGGGTTAGAAGAAGAAGAGAAGGACGACATTTCTCAAATAAATGAGGGTTCCTTTATTAGACAAAATACACCATTTACATTAGTTGTATTAGTTGTTAACTTTAGTGTTTATTAATTTGATGACAAATAATGTAAGGACACATGTAATGTTTGTTAATAACAATGAGCATCTATAAAAGCTTTCTATCACTCAGGATATAACCGACCTTCCTCTTCCTAAAATTTAGTACAATCGTCAAAAAGAGCTCCCTTGAAAAAACAAAGAGTGACAACCTAGTACAAGGAGTAAAAAATCTTTATACTGCACAAAAAATTTTCAAACTAAAAATTAGTTTAGTTGACGACTAATCAATCGATTGAATCTAAAAATTAAAATTTAATAGATCTATTTTAGAATATTATTTTACGCAACTTATGTATCTAATCAAATACTTTGAAATGGAAATAAATGTAAGCACAAAATACTCTTAACTTTCCTATATATATATATAGTTGACTCAGTAGCAATCCAAGAAAAACAAATAATTTCCCAAAATAAATAAATAAAATTTATTTTCAAAATAGCAAGAACAAAAATGAAACACGAAAACAAAAGAAGAAAGAGAACAACAAAAACTAAAAGCACCCAACTCCATGAAAGGCTACAATTTTCTCTCTTCCTCTTCCTCTCCAAAGAAATCCCATGCAAACCACATATTCTCATGCAAACCCTAATTTCCTTCCTTTTCCTTTTTTTGCCCTCCAACTTCCTCACCCCCTAACATCTCTTCATTCATCTCTCCTTCCCACCATACTCACCACCACCTCCTCCCCATCTCCACATGGAGGAGCGGGTCCCAGCCGCGACTGCCGGCTTTGACCCTTCCCCCAACACTCCTCCGGCCAACCCCAACCTTCTCCCTCCATCTCTGCCTCATTCCCATCCAAACAACAAACACCATGTCATCTCTCCCCCTCCATCTTACCATTCCCGCAAGATATCCAAAGCTCCCTCCTTCTCCTTCGCCATCGAGCCTGAAACAACCTATGTCATCCAAATCCCCAAGGATCAAATCTTTGCGGTCCCGCCACCGGAGCACGCCAAGATCGTCGAGCGCCACCGCAATGAGAAGAAGTCCTCCAGCCAGAAATCTGCATGTTGCTCATCCCGTTGCATGTCTTATACCTTCGCCATCGTGATCCTCATCGGCATCATCATTGGGGTGAGCATCGCCATCGCCCATGCCCTCATCAAGCCTAAGCTCCCCATCTTCAACATCCAACGACTCAATTCAAAGGAATCAACCGGGTTCAACGTGGCCCTGACTGTTAAAGATGACGGGAAGATGAGCATTTCGCCGGATGGAAATGGAGAAACCACCTTGATGTACAAGAACATTGAGATTGGATCGGGCAGGTTCCCTGGGCTGAGAGTCGGGTCGGGCCAGACGAAGGCGATTAGCTTGCAGCTGAAGGGCATTGGGAAGGGAAAGATGCCGACGGCGGTGAAGGAAAGCATGGCAGACAAGAAGGGGAAGGCTCCCATTTCATTGTCGTTGGTAATGAGGATTCCGGTGGTGATGAGTGCCTCCGGGGTGAAGTCACAAAGCAAAGAGGTTAACATCAACTGTAAGTTGAAGGTAAGGTCGTTAGGGGTGAGTCAAAGCGTTACCTCTCAAAAGTGCCAGGGCAAGTTCTCGTAGGTAGGAGAAAAGAAATGATCGATCAGACAAGGGATTTTTCCATAAATGTGAAGGGAGTTTCTTTGTTGACTTCAATTATATAGACATTGATGGAAAATTTGGTTCAAATGTTCTCAATAACAAGGGGGGAACAATGAAATTGCATACAATGACATGGAAGGTAACATTACAGGACAAAAAAGATTTGTCAAACTTTTTTTTTTTGTTCTTTTATATTTCGTCCTCAATTTTAGCTAAAAGTTTTGGTATAGTATGAGATTTCTGCATAGTGGTCAATCCAAATGATTGATCTTGTATGTACAAAATGAAGAGTATTGATTGAGTTCTTTATCTTCTTCTTTTCAAATTTAATTGATTAGAACATTTTACATATCTCAAGAAAAAGGGATTGATAGAATTTTTTTACATGAAAGTTTGTCCATAGGTAAACCTGGCCGGCAAGGGAAATGATACAATTAGGAGGGATTAATCATGGAATTAATTATGAAATGAAGACTTGGTGTAAAGATGTTATTGTTTATTCACAACATAGAGATAAAAAAATTTGAATTTTAAAGTGGATTATCCTTCCCCGCAAGGCGCAAACCCGATTTAATACCATATTCCATAATGAAAAAATTATAATAAATCCCTATCTCGATTTAATACCATGACAAAAAAATTATGAAATCAATAAAAATGTGTTATTGATAAATGTTGTAATTACGGAAAGGATGTGGAGTATAATAATTATACATAATCATTGTTCTAAATTCCTAGCTTAAGTCTAATAATCAATTAAGAAACCGAAACGGAACAGGATGGGATGCTAACCCCGTAATGGGTTAGCACGGTGCTAACCTAGAGGATCACCATTCTTTTGCTATAAAAGGGATCTAATGGGTAGAGATAGGTAAGGGCTAGTTGGGATTTTTTTGGACGTGGGTAGTGTTTCCGAAATTTTTGGAGTGAGGTTTGCGATCCAAACGCAGATAATTGGGGATTTTGGGGAGAGAATCTTTGGCGGTTAGGGTGACTGAATGGTTCCAATCTTTGGCGGCATTATTTTGTTTTATTTTTTTTTCTTCATAGATAGGTAGTAAATAGATAGGGTATTACAATTGTTCAAAAGTAAAAAGCGGTAGTCAACCTAATGTTGCTACCGATGCAAGAGCCGTTTATGCCACGCAATGGGCAGCCCTGTTAGTGCTAGCAGGAGCATAAACAAAACAAAATAAATTCAAAGGACGTCTTCATAAAACGAACTTCCTCAAGCACCGCTCCACCTCGGTCATGATAGATATCATCTTCTATTGAATTTCAAAATGCAGCACTGCATGAGTAGCATCAACGTGTCGTATACAATGCGGAAGAGGAGTAGCCTGCAAAACTAACGAACACAACTAGTGGAAAAGCCCAACCTAGCAAATGCAAGATGACTACAAAATCACACATTTCTAAAATTAGTGTGATAATTATCCGAATTCAAGCCCCAGGGGAAAAGGGATTAGAACAGTCATATAAAATAATTCCAATGGAATGAAATGAATTGAGAAAATAATGTAAAAAAATGAAGTATAATAATAAATATCAATAAGAAGCATTTAGACAGGAAGGGGAAGGAGTATGAAAAACAAACGAATTGAAAAAAATTGAAAACATAAAGGAATATGAATTAAAATAAAGAAAGAAGAAAAGTGGGAGTTATCCACCCACGACCAACCGGATAATTCGTAGCCAAACTACATATTAATCGCAACCGCAACCACAACCGCTTCCGCTACGAACTGCCTGATGGAGGAAGGCGCCACCATGGAAGACGAAGAGACAACAAGAATATATGTGAGATCTCCAGCGAAGATATTGAGGTCTTCATGGGATAAACACAATTGTCTTTCTCTCCTTCCTTAATTTGCAAAGGCTTATTCACCCCTGCAAAAGCGAAACAAAGTAGTGAAAGAGCTGCCGAAAGCAGGAAGAGACCCGTCGTCAAGAGCCCGAAGCAACAGGCATCCCGACCCGGCCTCACTCTCGAAGGGACGAGAGCAGTCGCACAATGGCGATTCCTGGCCCACAAAAGAGGGGGTTTCAGCGGCGACAAGGCGTTGACGATGGACAAGCAGCGGCAACAGTTGTTGGTGGCGGAGGCCTTCACGGCGCTTCTTCATCAAGCTCTCTTCGTGCTTGTTCTTCCGGATCTCCACCATGTTGTCCTCCCTCCTCCGCCTGCCTTCTTCGGCGTCGACCTTGTGGGGAAAGTAGATTGATAATTAGGGAAATAAAAAGTAAAAACAATAATTAAGACAAAGAATAAAGAAAGTCCATTATTTTGTTTTATTTGTGTAGTGATTTTTAATAATTTTCGCCTAAAGATCAATTTTTTTTTTCTCTCCCAGACTCATCCCCCCTTAGTTCTTTGGGCGATCTGTCGCCCTTTTTCTTACCAAATTTTTTTTCTCTCTAGTAGTGGTTCTCTAATGATATAATAGTGATTTTCATAGCAGTGATTAAAAAAAAAATGTTAGTATGATTTTGTAGTAGTAACTTTATAGTTACGAACATGACGCCAGTAGTGTTTCCAATGATGTATTAGTAGTAATTCTTGATTATTGAAAATTATAATCTGTATAATAGTATTGATTCTACTAAAAAGTTATCAAAATTACTACTAATAAATCATAAAATTACTACTACAAACATGAAAGAAAATTGGTAGTAGTGTATTATCAAAATCACTGCTAATAAATCATAAATCAATACTATCCACACCAAATTACTACTACAAACCTAAAATAAATTGGTAGTAGTGTTTTTAAGAGAACACAATACTTTATTATGTATGGTTAGAAAGAGTGACGTGATGGAGAGAAGGGAGAGAGAGACGTAGATTCTGGGATTGTAACTGCATCTCATTAAAATCCCAAAAAATCAGCCCAAATAAATAAAAGATAAATTTTTTCCCCTCCCTTCTATTACTACTTTGCCCTTTTTAAATGCTATTTAGCATGGTGCTAACCCCTTATACAATTAGCACCCTATCTCTTCCCAAACCGAAACTTCATGCTACAAATAAAACTTCGTGCTACATTGTTATTTGAAAAAATTTATTATACAAATTAAAATTCGAGAAAAAGATCAGATTTTGTGTTGATATTAGGACTTTATACGAAGTATAGACAAACATTTTTTTCTTGGATGAATGTATAAAGTACAAAATTATGAAAATTAGTTCACTTTCATGACTGTAAACATAAATGCATAAATCTAATAGTGAACGAAGTACTCGATACTAATGACTAATGAGGCAAACGCATATCACACTCCTAACACTACAATGATTACAATACTAATAAGGATTACAATACTACAATGATTACTATATGTAAATCTTACTAGCTCTAATAGAAGAAGGTAATCTTCTTGTTGCTTCGTTCTTTTCTTCATGTTCAAGATAGGGTGAGTAACCTTAGGGTGAGTAACAATGAGTAACCAAATCTGGACCCTTCTTTTAAGTGATGTAGACCTAAGGGTGGAGAACTAAATGAATTTATTTTCCCTATTTTTCTTAATTGGATCATATCTTCTTCATTCTAACTCGGATTTCAATTTTTTTTCACAGATGGAACGAGTTCGTTGTGCTCTACAAAATTATATCAATTTTCAATATTTTTTGAGAAAATATTTTTTCATCCCTCTCGTTACCAACTCCATACCATATGGTATTTCCTTCGTTGTCTAGTCATTTTCGGAAATTTTTGCACAAAAGGAACGATTTAATCATGATCTATTGGATTTCAAAATTTTTTGGGGGAAAAAATTTCAAACCTCTCGTTACCAACTCCATATCATACTAAACCACCCTGGTATGAGGTGGTATTTTTCATACCATATGGTATGCTGTTATTTAATACCATATGGTATTGACTGATATTAAATAACAGCATATGGTATTGACTGGTATTTTTCATACCATATGGTATGCTGTTATTTAATACCAGTCAATATCATATGGTATAGTCAATACCATATGGTATAGACTGGTAATAACTGACAAATTTTTTTTGTTCCAAAAAATATCAAAGGGGATATCATTTTGAAGAGCATAATTAATCTGATCTAACTGTGCAAAAAAAATTAAATTTAGAGTTAAAACGAGTGAGAAATCGTCCGTTAAAGATTAAGGGAAAGAAAATTAATGATTTTTCCAGGAGAGAGAAGGAGGCGCTGATGTGGCAAATTCTTATTGGGTTATGCATGAGGTTACTCACCACAAGGTTACTCACCGGATCTGCTCCCCTAGGCTCAAGATAGGGTGAGTAACCATAGGGTGAGTAACAATGAGTAACCAAATCTGGACCCTTCTTTTAAGTGACTGCAGATCTAAGGGTGGAGAATTAAAATAATTTATTTTCCCTAGTTTTCTTAATTGGATCATATCTTCTTCATTCTAACTCGGATTTCAATTTTTTTTGCACAGATGGAACGAGTTCGTTGTGCTCTACAAAATGATATCCATTTTTAATATTTTTTGAGAATTTTTTTTTCATCCCTCTCGTTACCAATTCCATACCATATGGTATCTCCTTTTTTGTTTAGTCATTTTCGGAAATTTGTACACAAATGGAACGATTTAATCATGATCTATTGGATTTCAAAATTTTATGGAGGAAAAATTTCAAACCTCTCGTTACCAACTCCATACCATACTATACCACCCTGATATGAGATGGTATTTTTCATACCATATGGTATGCTGTTATTTAATACCATATGGTATTGACTGGTATTAAATAACAACATATGGTATTGACTAGTATTTTTCATACCATATGGTATGCTGTTATTTAATACCAGTCAATACCATATGGTATAGACTGGTAATAACTGACAAATTTTTTTTGTTGCAAAAAATATCAAAGTGGATATCATTTTGAAGAGTACAATTAATCTGATCTAACTGTGCAAAAAAAAATTAAATTCCGAGTTAAAACGAGTGAGAAATCGTCCGTTAAAAATTAAGG